GTTTAAGTGCCTTACTGATCAGACGGGCTTGAAACTGGGAGCTACAGCAAGTGTGCTGGGTTGAGTGTGGAAAACAGAATCTGACACTGAATGAATTCTGGGAGTGTTGCTGAATATTACAGTGTCAGAAATGAAAAGCTAATATTTTTGTTTTCATTTATTAACATCAAACCTTCTGTAGAAACCAATCTGGCAGTGTTCATTGCACATATAGGCTGTTATATCACACACATACCACTACCATGAGATGTTAGTCTCATGTTGTGACTTGCATGTGTTGACTTTATGGTCTCACACTGTTAAAAAGCAAAGGAATTCTTAAATTCAAATATGGGCAAATAGCTACCTGTCTCAATTTGTATTGGTTGGCCTGAGTCTGCATTCACCCAGAGTTTGCAATACATTTTTTGTCACTGGTGCTACAGTTAAATTAGTTGATAATATATGCAGCAGTAGATGTCATGGGATTGAAGATTTGTTCTTCAGAGCAATTTGTTTTCATGACTGGTTTCCTGTGTGCACGTTGGAGCGCTTAGTTGAGTAAAGGTTATTTGCCCATCCATGCAGAGAGTTCTGTGTGAAGTCTGCAGTTGCACAGCATGACTTTTAATATTTTAGGCCTGCTCAGGAACCCTAGTGCTGTTGTGTAACAGGAGCTGCCAGACCTCTCAGCACGGCGGACTTATGAGATGGGGTGCTCACGGTTCGACCCATATTTTAGCATCAGAGCAACAGGTACACCCCTTCCATAAACAGGTGTACTTTACCTGCAAGTTTCCCTACTGAGGGTTTAGGGCCATTACTGATAAAACCAGTGAATTTGTCTGTGTTATACATGTTGTGGGTTTTAATTTGCATACATTTCCAGAGCTTTTGACAATGAAAGGTTTTCCTGCTTCCTGTTTGTGCTAAAGTCGAGCAGGCGAGTCAATGAAACACTGGACACAAAGTTGCGTGCGTCTTCCCTGAAAAGTTTCATGGCTCAGTAATAACTGCTTCATGTTTTAAAACGTTTTTGGAGGTTAAGACAGACTACAAGTACATACTTATATAAATTAATAAATTCCCACGTGTTCCTCTTCCTCTTTATGCAGTCAATTAGATCCTATTTGTGGCCAGTAGTTTGGATAGAGAGAATGAAAAAGGATGTCAGTGCAGAGCTACTTTGACTCTTTGTTCCGAGGTACTGTACCGCAGAAGCAAACCTTAATAACCTCAGTGAACAAGTATCCACCACCTCTGGAAACCGAACCTTTGAATGCTTAAGTGCGCTGTTTCAGTGCAATTACAAAGAAAAGGTTATTAAATAGGTAAAACTCTGGACATTTACAGGTAGCACATAGGCAGCTGAATGTTGAATTATGTGTTGAATACCAGCAGTGCTGCTGTGACTCACAAACGTGTAGGTGTAAGGGAAGTCCGTCTGATGATGCCGTTGGTCCAGGTTCAGGCTCTCGTCTGCGTGGGTGTTTGCACAACCTACACTTCTTAGAACTGATTCATTTCATCAGTGTACAGTAAATACATTTTAACTGGTATCATCTGATTTTAGTAACATGGCTCTAACGTGGTGAAGAGGAAACATTCAAAACAGTACTGCAAAAAATGTACTGGAAATGTATATATTTACAAATATTTGTAAATATTGTTTCTTTAATGCAATTGATAAGGTTTGCATGTCACCGGAAATGATGTGTTATAGTTTTTACTGACAGTTCATGTTCCATGTTCTCTGTGCCAAAGGCAGATTATAGAAATGATGAATACAAAATGTTGCACAAACTGAAGTTTCCAGGAAAACTGAGGCTAGTCTATGTATAGAAGAGTGTGCATGCACATGCAAGTCATATGATTTTATGTATGCATCTATTATATGCATCTGTTTTCTGTTCTTATGAAAGCACCTATAGAAAATTGAAAGCTGCCTTTTAGGTTTATAGAGCTAATAAATGTTTGTTGTTAACTTGTGTGAATAAGATGGTGTTAGTTGCAGTTACATGATACACATCAGATTTGCCCGATGTCTCTGGAACCTGAGTTTTGTCTCATTTCGGCTAAATTCTTTCTTAAGTCTGACACTAGTGTTCAATGTCTGAATTTGATTTTTATATGATGTTATGCTACAATAATTTGACTTGTTGCATTCACAGGCTGATCTATGCTTATTTATTTATTTATTTGTGTTTCAAAAGTACATATTCTTTTCATAGATTCAACCCACTCTTAAAAACAACATGGACTAGACAATTTCCCTTGTCTCAGTATCATTCCACATCCTGTTGTTGAAACCAGATGAAGCCATTACCTCTTTCTTTCATTCAGACAGGCTGATCTATGCTAACGCAGGTACAAAATCTTCATAATGATTTTTTCATCTTAATAAGTTTTGGGACACTTCTATCTCAGTGGTTCAACAACAACAACCTGCCAACACCACAGGCTTTGTTATTAATGGGGCTCACTGCATCACCTTGGGCAGTGAGAAACTGCCACTTTTAAATATTTTCTTATATTTTATAGACAAAACGATTGATTGATTAACCAAGAAAATGTTTGATCGATGATGATGGTGATTGATAATTAAAATACTTTGACATCTGCATTTTGTACTGACTAATTGTGCTGGAGTTCCTTCTCTTAACTCCCTGTTGGTATCTTCCAATTTTTACAAGGTCAGTCAGGCCTACACGTCTCGTGGTCTCAGCTCTTAGGCTCTGGAAATCAGCAGCATATGATTCCAGCGTAACAGCAGCAGCAGCCTGCATTCATCACTGTATACTAGCAGTCACCCCCTCGTCCAAAGTCGTGTCTTTATCTGTGGTCACCATGGTGACTTACAGTACACATGTCAATTGTTAATGAGGAGTGTGATCATCTAAGGCAAATTGATTAGCTCCTTGGTGGCTTGTGTACTTTTATATTTTGAGTATATAATATTACTGCTTAAAGCAGTAAGTGGATGTAAAATCATGTTGGAACAAATTTGACTTCACACAGTTTTTTCAATAATATTCAGTCAGACAAGGTTGAACACGTTGCTCTGCTCGTCTGTGGTGCCTCCTCAGATTTGTCTTGAGGTAGTTGCATGATACACAGATTACAAACAGCTTCACCTTTAATCGTTACTTTGCCATTTTCGACATAGAACCCAAAATACTCCCACACACCGCTTCTCAGATGCTCTGGTTTCATAATTGTTTGCAGGACGTTTTTGCTCGCTTGCGTCCTCCATTTTCATAGCAAAACACGTTAGTCAAGCTGTGATCAACCTTTAACAGGAGATAAACTACCTCAGACGGTCTGATGCGCTTCTTGACTGTATATTTTCACACATTTCAATGATTAAATGAATTTAATTTAGAATAAAAAGTGACAGCCCTAGTAAGTTGTGTATCTTGTTATCCCCATTGCACTTATGACTTCTTCTCAACACTTGTGGATCCAAAACACTGCACACAAGAACCAGAAGGAAAGTGCAGGATTGTAGTCAGCGTAAAATACTTGCGGTGGTTACCAGTTAGGGTTCAGCATAGTTCTTAAATTCTTGCTTGGATAGCAGTACATAGCTGTACAGCTTGTGTGCCTGTAATGTTCTTGGTGTCGGGGTAGGGAAAGCCCTTTGGGTCTCCTGAGACTTGTAGCAGTTTCAAAATGCAGGAAAACATCCTTGGTGCTTCTCCAAACTGTCTGCTCTGCCTCTGTATCAGTCTGCGAGGGTCAATTAACATCTTACTTACCTTTTTAGCCATTTATATTATTTATTTCTCATTTTCTTGATAAATTATGCAATTTTTTATATATTGTGTTGCATGAGGGATTTGTGCTGTTCTTTGATTTATTAACTGTTGTGCGGTGATGATGAATGCGTGCTGGTGCAGACTGGCTCATTGACGTTGTGTGCGCTGTAATGACAAAAACGTGTAATGATTTTTATATTGCAGGTTAATGATTGCACACAGACAGGTGTGGCCCCATACTGCTCAAGGCCTACTGAGAGCTTAATGCATCATTGATGTAGTGGTGATACTGTCTTTTGAAAGGCTAAATTATTGATTGATAAAGTCTTTGAATGAAGTCTCACTACGTGAGCTCCACAGTAGCAAAATACAGCTAAACCCGACACAAATAACTCTTAAAGCAAGTGCTAGAAAGAAGTGCTAGAAGAAAACGTAGAAAAAGCTTTGTGCAATGATTTTTTTATGGCTATGGGATGAAAAAAGGCTTCAATAAGCCACCATTTTTCTCCAACGTCTATAAAAGATGGTTCAGGAGTAACAGCATCATTTAAGTGTTTTCCTTTATATCAAACTCCTGCAAATGTTTTTGGATCCTTCTCTATGACCTTATACATTGAGAAGCTGGAGCTGTTACTTGTGCTGCGAACAGCAGAAGGTGTACAGAGCTCAACTTTTCTTGCAGCAATGCACCGGCGATTCAAATCACGTCAATGCGAAAGAGTAGGCAGCTGGCTAACCTGGTGTGTCCTCATCTGGTTGTGGGTTTTATTTCCTGTGTACTCCTTTATTTAGCATTCCATTGATAGCTAACATGGCACATAAGCACGAAAACTGGCTATGCTGTGTGACGTTATGACAAACACTGTCTAGTTTTGGTTTACCTTAGTCAAGCTTCTGTTAAATGTTTCATAACTTGTTGGAGTTACTTCTCCTTAGATATAAAGGGTAATCTCAACAGTCACCCTATCGCTCTGAGACAATCACACACATTTTACACTTGGATCCATGGTTAGAAAGTTGGATAAAACATGATGGTTGATCCATGTTTTACATGGTCAGTTTGGCTGACACTTCTCGTCAATCAGCAAACTATTGCTCCAATAGTGTGCGGGATCATTTATTTGATAGTGTAATTAACTTGAATTAATATTTCATTTCACTTCTGTTTACTTTTCAGTTGGATACATTTTCTGTACTCCTGCACTAATCTGAACACACACTGACATCTTTTAATTTCCTTCTTCCTCCTTTACTCACTTGTAGACGTTCCACCTGCAGACCAGGAGAAGCTCTTCATCCAGAAGTTGCGGCAGTGCTGCGTCCTCTTCGATTTTGTCTCAGACCCACTGAGCGACTTGAAATGGAAGGAGGTGAAACGTGCAGCGCTGAGCGAGATGGTGGAGTTCATCACCCACAACAGGAATGTAATCACCGAACCCATCTACCCAGAGGTGGTTCATGTGGTCAGTATTAAACATGAATTAGGGACTTAGATTTGTGTTTGGGATTCACACTGAACAAAGTTGACAATCAAGGATAGTATTTAGTTTTTGAACAATTAAAGGTTTCATAACAGAAAATGAAATGATTTATATTAAATATTTATTTATATTTATATTTATATTCTTTCACAATGTGGACTTCTCTCTGTGATGGTCCAGAATGGACTGTGTGTTAGTTATGTTTCGGTTGCTGTTGCAGGTTGGTTTGTCTCAGATGAGTGCGTAGAAGCAACAAGATGTTTGTATCTACTACTGTTTTAAATGTTTTCACATAGTCCTAGATGAGATTGGATGAAATTACTTTGAATGAACTTTGCAAAAGAGTTGGTTACTGCTTTCACTCATTTTAAAATCCTATGTAATCCTTAGATAAGATAGGTGGTTTACTTGACACATGAAAATAAACATACTTCTAGTCTTTTAAGCGGATGCAGCTATGAGTTGCATTCTTTCCTGTTCTACCTAATAAATGTCTTGTGGTCAAGACTGGTGCACCAGATTGTTACCGTGCACCAGATTTTTGCACCCCATATCGCTACTTCACAGTCAGATTACAAACAGATTGAATCAAGAGAACAGGTTTGTCCTATTATCTAAGGTCAATACATGATACAAAACATTCCACACAACACGTCATAGCATAGAGTACTGTTTTATAGGCTTATCTAAACCCTGCATCTGAAGTAGTATTAAACAAAAAATACTGTTATTCAATTATAGCATTTATGTTATCATCATTGTTCCCCCACAACTGAGTGCCTCTTTTAATTTAGATTGGCATCCATAAAATATTATATATATATATATATATCTATATATCATAGCAGATTTAACCTTCCTAGTGAAGTAAATCTGTGGCTTCTGTAAGATAATTTACATTCTAATCCCATAACATTGAGGTCCATAAATCAAACCATGTCTGTCTGGCTCAGGTAGTTACAGCAGGTCGGTTTATTGCTCAGTTATATGTTGAAGAGAGTTGCCATGTATATCTGATGGGACGCTCTGCTGTATTTTAGTAAATACATGTAACCTTACAGAGTCATCTCACTCTATAAGCTCTTAAACTGTAGTTATTGTTTTAATGATGCACCATCGTCCTTAATAATCTGCAAATGGTTAAGAAGCTGCATCATTCTTTTTCATGTGGGCTCCATCTTGGGTTACGGGCTTCCCGGTTTCAGACCCTTTGTCTTTATTAGCTCCTCACTCACTGAGTTCTAGGAAGCTCACATGAGCATCACGGACCTCTTTTGGAACCCAAACATTCACGTCACATAATCCTGACTCAATCTTTTAAATAATTGGTAAACCATTAAGTGACTCATTTGTTTTGTTTCCCTGAAGTGGTCGGTTGGTGGTATTTTTTTAAATATCCCTCATTCATGACCATTTGAGGTCAGTAATCTGAGGTTTGTAGATGTGAACGTGTTCAGTCAGGCTGTCGCTGAGCTCCCGCTGTATATTTTTTAGAAACCCGTCCCCTCTGAGGGGGCCTGGCTGCATTCAAGGGGCCAGGTTTGCTTTGCCAAGCCAAATTAAAAGGGCTTTGATGTCAATCAAAGACCAGCCTCAATGTCACACGGTAAACTGCAGATCATCAAGGTGCAAATTTCCCCTCATCGTCGTCGCCGTGGCTTCATTTGATCAGTGCAGCAGAAAATGCAACAGAGCTCCCAAATCAGCATGAAAATATGCTCTTATTTCCGGCAGCTCCTCTCCACTGCCCCCTTAAAGACCAGGGCTCTTTGAAGCTTACTGACCACTTTCATCATCAAAGTATGGAGATTGACACGACAAACACTTTTATAGCCATTAAGAGTGTATTCTTATGTTAAGGCCGCATGCATTATTCTCTCCCACGAACCCTGTCAGTGCACGTTTGATGCCCCTGCGTCAGGGCTCTAAAACAATATTTTGCCCGACCTTGGTTGACACAACACTGGTTGCTCCATTAGTTCTATTATCTGGGGGGAAGTAAGAAATAGTTTCTGCTTAGAATATAAACACAATGGTGAGTGACTGTGTTTTGACCTCTTGATGACTGCTGTCTGGAGGGAACGTCTAAGCGTGCTGTCTGGAAAGTGATAATGGACTAAAGTGGGAAATGGACAGATGCTTCCTAGTTTGGGAATTGTCTGGGAAAGAATCTCTTATCACTACCCAGCACAAGCAAGAATATTAATTCAATCTTCCTCATAGAATACCAAAATATGTGGAGTATTTCAAATAAACAGTTAATAAATCAGTTTACATATTGTACCAGTGTGTCTTAAAACTTTTTACTGTGGTCTGTGCAGTAAAGTAACCTGTATATTTCGCACTCTTAGTCCTTTGTCCGTGGAAATGTTTCTTGACAAAGCTGCAAAGAGATTTTGTTGTCAGCTGTACCACAGCCCATTAATTATCTGTCTTATTTGCTTGTCAAATACTGAGTGAAGGATTTCAGAATTCCTCATTCAGTTTTCTTGTTTTTGCTGTCAGGTGTATTTTGTGAGCAAACACTCAACAAGACCAGACTTAACTGAGTAGCAGGGGGTCTTGTTTACTAGGGTTTGTTAATAGCAGCTGTTACCTTTCACTGGAAACTTTAGAAGGCTAAACACAGTATAAAATGTGATTGTAGGTCAGTTTAGAGGGGGGATGCACAATAAAGTACACCATTGATGCCGTGGTCACTTGTGTAGTATCATGGGTAAATGTTGAAAAACAAAGATCATGCCAATTGCATTCACTGTTTGTCCCCCCTCACCAGCATTCATAGAAAGCAGCAGTTGTTTGATTTCAGTTTAAGATGCTTTTCTTTCTTTATCATTTGTAATTAATTTGTAATTTACGAGGCATCAACAGGAACATAATTGTGTTTCAAATCATCAAATACATTTTCTAAATGTATTTTTAATTTCTTTCATTGACTTTATTTGATATCAGGCCAATGCTTTATTAAAAACACGTCATGGTCTGCATGTTTTATTTGTTTTGCACTATAAGCCTTTGGATATAGTTTGAAAATAATTTGACACTTCTTCTTGTCCATGATAATGGACTTGTTTATATTGTGTTGTAAAAGAAACAGATTCAATCTTTTTTTAAAATGGTCCTTAGATGAAACATGATATCACAAACCCTTTGTCTTAATTGTGAATTAATTAATGAATTAATTAATTGTGTCTTTGTGTGTTCCCCAGTTTGCTGTGAACATGTTTAGAACGTTGCCACCGTCATCCAACCCCACAGGAGCTGAGTTTGACCCAGAGGAAGATGAGCCTACGTTAGAGGCTGCATGGCCACATCTACAGGTACACAACACACGCAAACGGATGGACACACAGACATGTACTCAAGGACAATGTTTTATGCATTCACTGTTGACTGAAGAGAATAAATCTATTCAAGTCTTTGTACGTCTCGCTTATCCTCCACAGCTCGTCTATGAATTCATCCTACGCTTCTTAGAGTCACCTGACTTTCAACCAAACATAGCCAAAAAGTATATTGACCAGAAGTTTGTAATGCAGGTAAGTGCACAATGATATGTGTTTTTTCATTTCAAACATTTGTGTCTTTGTATTCAAAGTTGTATTTGCTATTAGTGTCAAGCAGCTTTTTCTTCTGCTTAGCTCTTAGAACTGTTTGACAGTGAAGACCCCAGGGAAAGAGATTTTTTAAAGACCACTCTACATCGCATCTATGGCAAGTTCCTGGGCCTGCGAGCGTACATAAGGAAACAGATAAATAACATATTTTATAGGTGAGTGCTGAGCAGTTGACTTGGACATTTTATTGTTTACGTGTGTTGTTTTTGAACATGGTGAACTCATTGTTTCTGGTTGCTGTTTTTCAGTTTCATTTATGAGACTGAACATCATAACGGAATAGCAGAATTACTGGAAATATTAGGCAGGTAAGAAGCAGTTCTATGTATACTTCTGGGCTTCATTTCCAGTAACTGTCATAATGATGCACATGCAGTAGGTATCTAATGTTTCCCAAGTCAATTGGAGTAGAGCCTTACCACAGCACTTATTTTCCTATGACCACCTCTCTCCTTCACAGCATAATCAATGGATTTGCATTACCATTGAAAGAAGAGCACAAGATATTCTTACTGAAAGTTCTGCTGCCTTTACACAAAGTCAAGTCACTTAGTGTATATCACCCACAGGTATCTTGTCAATGTTGCATCATCATCAAATCTAGACAATACTGTCATTTTGTTAGAAGTGGAACACTTACTGCATGTTGTCTTTTTCCTTCAGCTGGCCTACTGTGTAGTACAGTTCCTAGAAAAGGACAGCACCCTCACAGAACCGGTGAGATTTGATTTATTAACATGGTTATGTTGTTAATATTGTTGATTGAATTACCCCTCAGTATCCGTGCTGTTCAAGAAACAACTTAGAACAGTATGGACCTTCAGGAGTCCACCTGCAAAGACGTATTTTCATTCAATGATTTCATTTGTATTTAAAGTTGTTATTGACTTATCAGGTACTCATGAACCCTATTATTAAGCTAGTCACGAAAAATATGTCAAGCCATACCTTCATCATGTCTTCAAGAGCAGAACAACAAACTGACTGAAACCATTGAAGTCAGATTAAGTACCCGATTATTATTGATATATAAATTATATATACTCACAAACACACACACAAGCACATAGTCTGTGGTTTTTCTAAATGTGTTGCTCGTTGTATCGGTGGTGTCTTATTTACTTAACAGTAGTCAGCTGTCCAAACGTTTTCCGTTAATAAGCCTGTAATTGTGTGCATGTCTGTCTGTCTGTGTGTGTGTGTGCAGACAGTGATGGCTTTGTTGAAGTACTGGCCAAAGACCCACAGTCCAAAAGAGGTCATGTTCCTCAACGAGCTGGAGGAGATCCTGGACGTCATCGAACCATCAGAGTTTGTTAAAGTCATGGAGCCCCTCTTCAGACAGCTGGCCAAGTGTGTTTCCAGCCCACACTTTCAGGTCTGACAACTATTCCCCAACATGAATGTGTGTTTTTAGTGTATTTGTGGCAACAAGTTGTTTGGGAACATTTTCAGTTTTTCTATCAAAATAAAATGTCTACATACATCTGTCACCTATTGTGATCTGATGTGTCATTAGGTAGCGGAGCGAGCTCTGTACTACTGGAACAACGAGTACATTATGAGCCTGATCAGTGACAATGCCGCCAAGATCCTGCCAATCATGTTCCCGGCCCTTTACCGCAACTCCAAGACCCACTGGAACAAGTGAGTCACTCCACTGGCTGTGTCTGTGTTTGTCTGTGTTTGTCTGTTTGATAATGGTTTGTGATGATAGTTAAGTGCATGAATCAAGAGACAAGTGGTTATCTTTGTGTGTCTGTAGGACCATCCATGGGTTGATCTACAACGCTCTGAAACTCTTCATGGAGATGAACCAGAAGCTGTTTGATGACTGCACCCAACAGTTCAGGGCAGAGAAAAGCAAGTAAGTCACAAGTGAGATGTCATGTAAGGATTTCCAGAGCAGCCTCAGCTCACTTTCTCTTATTACACTGTTACACACAACATCATACAAACATCATTAGAAATGCAGATTTTGGTGTATTTTGTGAATTTGTATTTTAATGATGTTCACTTTGTTTGGTGTCTTAGAGAGAAAGCTAAGTGGAAGGAGAGAGAAGAAGCGTGGCTGAAGATTGAGAATCTCGCAAAGTCGAACCCACAGGTGAGTAAAGAGATTATAACCCAGCAGGTCTGTTAATGCTGCAGACATCTTCCTGAATTATTTATTTCAAGATTGCCTCATTAATTGTACTTGCACAACACATTTATGGTTCTGTGATTACAATGAGCACCACTTTACAACGTAAACAAAATGTACTGAGTTCTATGGACACCACTCATGTGTTAGCATGAGAAGAAAGATCTTTGATTGTCCAAAATTTCCCTGAATGTTAAAACTAAAAAATCTTCAAAGTTGACTTGAAATCAAAAGCTGCAATAACTGAACACACAAAAGATGTTACATGAGTGAGGAGGTGCTTTCTAACATTTCCTTTCCGTCTCCCTGTACAGTTTCTGACGTACGTTGACTCGGTAGGCTCAGGCAGTCCAATGGACATGGAGACAGACGGGCCACTGCTAGACGATGTCAATATGCTAAAGAAAGCAGTCGTGGAGGAAGCGACACAGGTGAGGAATGGTGTGTCAGTGTGTAGTTTGGCATTGAATATGCATGTGTGTTTTTTGCTGTAAATAGGTTTGAGTTCAGGCACAAATTTTTCAATTAAAAAAAATTATGTTATCCGTACGAGAGGACGACTCCGTCATGGATCAATTATCTAGTAGACGATCTCCTCTTGCTCACAGATATTCAGATGTGGTTTGACACCAAAATAAATGATTTTGTTGGTGACGACCGCTCACACATTTTTGGCTATTTCAGGTACTGTTACATAGCAGGAGGAAAAACAGTCTCCTCCATCCCATGAATAATTTCATTTGTCAAGATGACTAAGATTTGTGGTTCACGTGATTCAGAGCAGGTGTCTACCTGCTGCTAAGTAAACAGGTTTTTTGAGATTAATTTTGTTTGCCTGTGAATGTAATCATGCTCATTTTTTCTTTTCCTTTATTAATCTTCATGTTGCAGTTTGCAGAGTGAGGTTTGCTCATGTTGGCATCTTCACTTTGGTCTTGCATCATCAGTGTGACATATGGATCAGACATGTTTTCTTTTTTTTTGTATGAGAACAGTGTGTGTGAAAAGGCAGATGTGTTTTTTGTTTGTCTTGGACTTCAAAATGTAGAAAGAGGGGAGAGTATAATGTTGCACATTTCTTTTTCTCATGGCAGGCAGAAGTTAAATGTGTGTGAAGTATTCTGGAGAGAAAGCTTCTAAAACCACTCTGTCTCCACGTGTCCAGATCCAAAAAGACCAGAGGAGAGAGCGCCCTTTGATGCGAAGGAAATCAGAGCTCCCCAGGGACATCTCCACGCTCACAGCCTTGGAGCTGCACCGGAGAGCCGAGGAAGTGTTGACGACGCATGATGGCCACTAAGAGACCACCCCGGTATCCACCATAAGCCAGCAGCAGCTGAAGCATCCACAGAAGAACCACAGGCCCACGGAGGCCCGCACAATGACAAGACGTCTGGTATCTCAGTCCAGCCCAGCACAACACAGAGCTGAAACAGTCCCTCCTCCACCCGACACAGAAAATGTGTAAAGCCGCACATCGAAGCCTGATTCAGCTTTTGGAAAGCGGCTCTCTGTCCTTACTGATCCTCACCCCACCCCCACCTGATTGTTGTCCAGCTGAGACGTTGCGGTGCTGGACGCTCCCGCACGACCAAGACACGCACCGTGAACTTCACCCCCAAGACACTGTGTCATTCTCTCCTCTCCTTCTGTCGTTCTCTCTCTTTTCTTGTCCTCTCAACCTGTTGTGTTTTCGGGGGTGCTGTGCTGCCCCCTTCTGGTCATTTCTCTCAGGTGTTTTGTTCTCTGTATGTGTGTGAGCTGTCTTCTCTTCTTGCCTCTTCTTTATAGATGTCAGGTGCTTGTACAAATAAAACAAGGCCCTCCGCAGAGGACTCCTTGGTTTACTTTAAAAGAAAAAAACAGCATCATCTGATGAGAAAATGACAGTTGTTTCTATAAACTAAATATTAGCTATTTCTCGCAACATTTAAACTAGAACGCAGTTTACATATTATGTATTTTTTTTCCCAGTATAGTTTACTAGGAGCTTGTCTTAGATTAAAACACACCTCCCATCTGTACAGCTCTGCAGTTTGACATTTTTCTATTTTTTTCTCAGTTCATTTTCCATTCGCTGTGAGGATTCATTGATTGGTCTTAATCAGGAATGGCGGTGGAGCGTGTGCAAATTAAAAGTGTTGCAGCACAGTTGTGTTCATCGAGCCATGCGGGCGTGACAGAGGTCCAGGTTTTTTTCACCTTTCACATAAATGTTCCAGCGCAGAAGCGTCATTGTCGATGCTAACGTCTCTCAATAGTTCAGTTCCTGTATTTAAAAAAAAAAAAGAAAAAGATCCTTTTAATTGTGTAGGCAATAAGTTAACATGGGCTGTGGGGTGTGTCTGGCTCAGGCCTGCTGCAACAGTTACATGAGAGGGGGATTGTGGGATTTATTTTGGGCTCCTCGTTCAGCTGTTGTAGGAGCATGTGTAACACGGCCATGAGCATTCAGTACAAGTCACTCAGTCATTCATGTGAGGCTTAGGAGAGGTCAGAGACGGAGTTGCCCATCTGGGATTTACACAAAGTCGCTGTGTGTCGAGAGATGTCGGGCAGACAATGTGCTGATAGCGATGTCTTTTTGTACTCTTCTCAAGCAAGACCCTTTTATTTATAAAACACTTGTTAGAGATTAGACCGCGTCATGGGTGAGGTGTGTTTGGTTTGAAGAGGTCAAACATGAGCCTTTCTTTTCACAGTGCCTTTTATAGTCTAAGGGGATATTTGCTCAACTGAGAATCGAGTAGTAGCATTGACGAAATGCCAGATCATTAAAATAGTGTGACATTAAAAAAAAAAAGGACGCATCTTTAAATCGGCACTCTGCACACCTCGGGGCCCTTGGACTCCAGCACATGCCTTGTTGAAGCTGCAAAGTCCGTTTTGTAGTCAAACGCTCGAGAGGAGAAGCAGAGTGGTCGCCCCAAACCACTTCAGCAATGAAGCACTTCCTGATAAAACTTGAAAAGAAAATAGAAACACAACTGAAAAAAACAAACTCCTAAAGAACTGAATTCTGTGATGCTGTCTGTCTGGTGTGTGAGGGGTCACCTCCCCTGGGTGCCTGTTGATAAGAACAAGCCTCCACAGGAGAAGAAATCACCTCCCATCCTAACGCTGTCCCATTCCACTTTTGATTTGCACCATTGTTGGACCCCCCCGCCCCCTTCCTCCCCCCTCCCTGTTAAAAGCCGAGTACTACCCTGTAGGGTATCTGGTTGTTCTGCTTCTGGATGCTTTCAAGTTCTTGTTTTTGCTGTGGGTTGTATTCCTCCTTCGCCTGCAGAACCTCTGTCAGTGTTTCAACTGAATGTGCAAATTGTAAATATTACTGCAGTCACGTTGTTCTATTCTCTCCATGTTTGTCTTGAAGAGCAACATTCACCATTTTACAAAAAAAAAAAAGTTCCCTGGGTTTTACAGTGGATCTGCTGAAAGGAAAGTGATTTCCTCCCTGTAGAAAACTGCATCATCTGATTGTTGGTCGTCAGTAAAGTGTTAAGGCCAGTTTATACTTCAGCCTTGGATCAACGCCTCCGCAGAAATATAACTACAAGTCGTAACGAAGCAGATGGCAACAACTTGTGATTGGTTCACTCTAGAGCACGTCTCGTCCACGTCTCTCAGTGGCCAAACTCAACTCCCACTTCTTCTGCCTCAGTCAGTTCATCGATCATACAAATCCAAAAAATGCGGACAGAAACTGAGCAAATGATATAGCAAAAATATTCAGGATACGGGTGCTGCCATCTTGTGCTTTAAAGGTATAGTGTGTAGAATTTAAAACAACATGGCAGCCTCTGTTGAGAGGACCCCCTCGATATAAATATAAAGTATTTAAATATAAAGGAACCATTTCTAGGGTAAAGAAAACAACAATTCATACAATTTAGATGAAACACACTCGTGGAAACATCATGAGAATTATTTTATATTCAATTTGTGCCAATAGATCCCTTTCACCTAAATCTTACACACTGAACCTTTAAATCCATTTGGAACCAGTGTCTGTGCAGTAGTGACTGTAGTATGGAGCCATGGTATCTAGGTCCCACTGTTACTTTCGACCAATTGCGAGTCAGTCTCATATCTCATTCAAGTAGTTTTTGCCATTTTATATACATCAGATTAGTAAATAAAAACAAACTTAACAGAATTAGGAACTTGGACTAACAGTGTGATACAGACTTCCTAAAATGACAGAAACCATAATTGTTAGGTACTTTTTAGCTTGGTCCAGGTCAAATCCATCAACATGGAGGAGGCACGACTTATGACATATATACTGCAGCCAGCCACCAGGGGGCGATCAAGATGATTGGGCTTCACTTTTGGGGAGCTGTCATGTCATCCATCTTTTATACAGCGTGTAGTAAACACAGGAACCTCACGTTCAGTGTCCACCACTTATGAAGACTTGGCGTCGATAATCATCTGAAGTTCAAACCGGCTTCAGCGTCTCATTGGTGACTGTTGTTCTTCTTGAAATGGCTTTAATATTGGCTTCTTTGGAGCTTTCTTCATGTTTGTTTCTTTGTTTTCTTTTTCTTGGAAAAGAATGAATATTGCAAGTGTCCTTTAGTATATATCTCATACTAAATGGCTTCATTTAATATTGTACATATAATGTACTTTTATTTTATTTTATGTTATAACTATTATTAAATGGTAGATTTCATATTTTGTACAAAATGTCACGTGTACAGAATACAGAGGTTGTTAGCAACTGCAGACGGTTGGTATGTGGCACAGACTTCAACACATGTGACTATTTACATTTAGAAAACCATATAGAATTTGGATAGTTTTTTATCTACTGTAATCCAACATATTTTCCGTTTTTGTTTTCCACCTTCAGACATGTGTTGAGATCCTACATACATGAGCTTTTTGTGTGTGCTTTTATCCAAATCTCCAGTGGTGTACATCTATCTATATACAGCAAATAAAGAGAACATGTGAGTTTTATATTTTCATCCTAAAAAAAACGAAAACTGTCCTGCGAGTCGTTATTAGTTTAATTCAAGATGTCTGCTTTTTTTCTTGCAGCTCTCTTGATGGACACCAGCCCACGTCCAGCCCAGATGGTCTTTTTTATGAGATATATTAATCAAGCAAACACACATCTATCTCCCTCTGGAGAGGTGATGTGCAGCCTTTTGTGGCTCTCAGGTTACCACCAACATGTTCCTCCATCGAGAGAGAGGAGGAGGTGACGTAGATTGAGGAAAATGAATCACTGGTTGCTGCAGTGTGCACTAAAAATTAATTCTAATCTTCCTCTGCAACCACTTCATGATAGTTACACCTACACTACAAATATGTATTATGCTAAAGGAAACAACCAACACTAAAGAAAATGGACTAAGCTCTGTTAGACGTATAGGAACATCCTGTTTGTATAACTGCGAGCCTGCAGGCAGAATCTCAACCATTCAGTTAAACTTTAAACAAAAATGTACTAAATATAGATATGTTTTTACAGCTTGTAGTCAATAATCAATCACTGAAAGCCAAACGAACAGCAGGTCAAGGTTGTTGCAGTGATGTTGATTCTAAAATGTAAAACCACAGCAGATGAGTCTGTTTCACCTTTTTACAGAAAATAATTAACTAACTTGTAGTTAGAAAACTGAGTTGTTGAAGTTTATGGAGGGCTACAAATTTAAATGAATAAATAACATCATGAGTTCAGAGATAGATCATGTGACCAAAATGTTTTTTTCTCAATGTTCTCCATCCTTGAAGTAACTGCAGAAAACATATAACTGCTAAAAATCAGCACTTATTTAGAAGTGACATACTTTATAGTTTATAGTAAGATGACATTTCTAAACCCTTTAACTTTAAGGTTTGAATTTAAAAATGATAATGCAGTCCTTTGCTTCCACCTGCTGGACAAATCTAGTATAGACCATTTAAAATGACAACATTTATTTTAATCAGACTGCAGTGTGAAGTTAAATTATTGTTTTTATCAGTTTACTGTACACATGTTAGCAGAGGAGTTTCCAGGCAACATAAGAAATTTTTTTTTTACATATAATATACAAAAAATGTAAAGGGACAGAATGTTCTCATGAAGCTGGAGGCTTATTTTCTTTTCTCAAAACTTGTAATTAATGTTTTAATCTGAATGTCCTAACACATCATGTCTCTATCGCTCAGCTGTTACATAATGTTACACACACAAACAGGCCTGATTCCATTTGACCTATTGCTTCTTGTATAAGCAGCTGTTGTCATGTGTTGCCTGCTGTTATTTAGTTACCTCACAGCACTTGGCTGAGGACACACGTGCAGTTCATTCATTCATCGCTGCAGAAGCTGCCTCTGATACTGTGATTCATTCATACTTTCATAAAATCTGAAGGACGCTGCTGGCTTTCTCCTGTAGACATGTTGCTAGGTGCTGCCGTCGGCCCTTCACCAGTCGCCCTAACTCTCGAAATTGGCTCGTCTGAGGTCAGTTAAGTTCCCTCTATTCATGCGAAGACAACGGGGAGGTCTGGCACCCGCCCACCCTCTTGTGTCTAGCACCCCTGCTGGGATCTGAGCTGAACCCAAATGAACCTGCTGAGGTTTAGGAAACAAACACAACTGCACTTATTGCACCTCTGTAGCACAAATATTGGGCTGCTGATGGTGACGCAGTGGAAAATTCAATATTGTATCATTGATACCACAAATTGACGTTGAATGCAATTAGATCATAGAAACACTTTCATCTCTGTTTATTTGATTTGCTGGGTTCACCCTGGTCGCATTGTGCAGAATCTATTTTTCAGGGTCAAACTTAAATTTCTATATTTACTGTAAACTAACAAAATGTCACAGAATAATAGCCCCTGTCTCTACATGACTGCCCTAATGAGGATGCAAATTGTCTCCCATCAACACCCACAATTTGCGTCATTATAGACACATTGTACCCCAATTATAAGAGGAAGTATTCCTCTGGGCGGAATGCGTCACTGAATATCTAAATACGTCAGTGTTTTTTTTTTTTTGTGGGTGTTTAAAAGACTGTCTGCTTTCAGATGAGGTCACTTGGATTCATTGTCTTTGCCTGCGGTGACAGGAGTGCTGTGGCTTCACTGTCGTCTTGAATCGTCTTGTTGCTTTTTTGATATTATTCTTGTGTTTTGATCAGGATGCTCTGACAGCCTTCTTCGACTGAACATCTTGCTGTGCAAACCCACACTCCTCTCCTCTCCTCTCTTCTCCTCTCCTCTCCTCTCCTCTCCTCTCCTCTCCTCTCCCTGCCGGCCCTTGCAACCAAAACACATCTTGTCACGACAGGAGATGTCAGAATCCATCGCTATGGAAACTGCTCAAAAGTTTGTGAGTGTCGACCCCTATTGTGACTGCATCCAATCAGATTTTAGGAGAAAAGCTTTCAGCACTGCATTACTTTACTGTGCGGGTACATTTGTGTCGATCTGATTCTGTGTGTGTGTGTGTGTGTGTGTGTGGAGGGGGTGTATTTACGAGGAATGGGAGCCAAGTAGGAGGAAGGTGACTCATCACACCACCCCAGGGGTCTGAGATCTGGGCCCTAGCTCCCTGGTCTTGCATCCACCTCCTCGTCTGTCCTCTTCTGTCTCCTCAGTGGCACCTGAGCTTCTCTCAGGCAAAATGTTGCGTCATCCCATGCACCCCTCACCCTCCTCCCAAAACCCCCCACCCATCCACCTCCGAGATACAGAGTTGTTTTGGGGCGCGGCCCAAGTCCTCGTTTCTTTTGATGCTTGACACTCGGCTTCAAAGCTCGAATTTTGGGATCAGGCCCAGCGGCTCGGCATCCTGCCCTGTGCACACAAGAGAGAGAGAGAGAGAGAGAGAGAGAGAGAGATGCTGCATGGAGCTGTCTCCCCCTTGAGCTTTATCTGGCTTTAACAAAGCTAACGTCCATACGGTGGACTCTGAGACAAAGTTAATACAGCTACACTTTAATGCTTATTAAGAATCCAATTAAGGCTCAAAACATGTTGACGGGGGTTGTTTCCTCAGGGGAATAAGAAGATGTGAAGAAGTACAAAAATAAACTACAGATAAAACAATGAGAATATGATACACGGCTGTTATTACAAATGAAGAAAAGCAGTTTTAATGTAAATGCAATGTACGTGTGGGTGCATCAAAGTCCAACAGCAGTTTTTTTTTACCTAAACCATAAAGAATAAAATCATTTCCACCATATGGATGCTGATGGAAAACTTCATGAATTTCAAAATGCATTACATGTTGTATGTATATTACTCTTTGTTTTGCTTGAGTCAAATGGTTTCTTGTTCTTGTTTCTTGTACAGAGCAACCAGCGTCAGTAGATGTCTTGGAGAGATGAGTGAGGGACCATCAGCCAATCACAGCAGCAGGAATGTATTTTGTCAAAACCCCTGATTTGTTCCTCTGAATACTTTTTCTTGCAAAAATGTAATGAAGGGAAAAATCTCGACAAGTCAAGATGAAGTAAGTAACTACTTTATGAGGTGTTCTCCCCGGTTGTGTGTTTTTTCTTCAGGTTCTCCAGCTTCCTTCCACAGATGCAGATCGGAGTCAGGTTGATTTAGTTTCTAACTTGTCTGTAGGTGTTAATGTGTCAGTGGATAATTGTTTGTCGGACCCGTCCAGAGTGCACCGTGCATGAATGTGTTTTTTATGCTACCCAAAGACCAACCTATATTATTCTGCGCATAAAAAAGCGTGTCAGTATCTGGGAAAATACAGCTTCACAGTTAGATGCCACTAAATTCTATACTCTGACCTTTAAGAGAAGAAGATGTGTTTGAAGTTGAGAGGTTTAGAGGTTCACAGCTTATTTTACCCACAGACTCATTTACTGAAGGCAGTAGAATTCGTGGCAGCTCTCTTGTTGCAGATATGGCACTTTAATGTCGACACATTCTGCAGCTGAAACCTTTCTCGCTGTCACATCCTTAGATAAAAATGTAGTTTCACCTTCATTCTCTCTCTGAGTTTATGTCAAAACTTAAAAAGAAACAATGTGAACTCTTGAGTTCTTCTTCTCTGCCTCTGATTCCAAGTTCTGCAGCGAAACTTAGTGACTCCTGCACCGTATGCTTATTGAAACGTGATAGTAGTGAGTTAAACAGTGCAGTGGGTCCATGGCATCCACATTATATCTGTGATTGCAGGAGCATGAATACTCTTAAAATGTTTTTGAAAGGACAGTTGATAGCCCAAGAAGTAAATAAAATAATATGTTGGTTTGGTTTGTGGCTTTTGTATTGACATTGAATTGTTAATGTTAATACATTTCAATGCAATTTAAAAAAAAAACATCCCTGACTCATTTCTTTTAAACATTTATCAAATAAGAATCTTATAAGAAAATTTTATAAAAACAGAATTCAAGTTTGTACATAAACATTTAAACAGTGAAGACAGCAGAAGAAGAGAAGAGAAGAGAAGTACAAGAATACAATAAAATAAGGATATAAAAACATGCAGCTGCTTTATGGACCAATACCTGGAGCTGGAGATGATTTATTAAAGGTTCACTGTGTAAAATGTATTGACATCTAGTGGTGAAGTTGTATGTTGGAGCTGAACACCCCTCACCTCACCCTCCCCTTCCAAACATGAGATAACCTGTTGTAGCTTTCAGTTGTCATAAAAACCTAAAAGGTGTTTAGTTTGTCTGTAGAGAGGACCCACTCCTGACGTAAATATAAAGTATTTCAATATAATTCTAGGGTAAAGAAAACCACAATTTGTACAATTTAGATGAAACACCCTGGTGAAAACATCAGTGGGATTATTTTATATTCAATTTCTGCCAATAGATCCCTCTCACCCAAACCTTACACACTGAACCTTTATTTATTTCCCTTTAGACCAGTTTCTAGATAATGAAACACCACCATCACAGAGTTGTTGCACATGGTTCACACTGTGATCAGGATGTAGACGGCTCAGGTGTAATCAGGCTACAAGCTGTGGTGTCGGATAAAGAGAAAAACCAGAGTTC